CGATGTTATCGCGAAACGGAGACAGCGCACTAAAGCCCTGGGGCGACTCCACTATTTGAGGTGGAGATGATAGCTGCGCCATGGTCTCGTTTCCGTCACGAGATGGAGTCCCCAATGACACTCTTTACTGCTAAATGCTTCCATAAACACCCATATCCGATACCCGCGACTCCCATTTAACAATATCAATAGACACATATTTTGTAACACCTGATAGGGAGTCATATAGTCTGGACCTGTTTTTATGTTTGCCATTAGTCAGGATAAAGGGTACGTGATTGAAATGCTGATGAAAGCCACGCACACACACTCGGATTTGAGTGGAACAATTGAATTTGTGTTCTATTACCATCACCATACGAAGGTGTAGAACAAAACATGTGTCGAATTGCTTGTTTTGTGCTCGGCGCCTGTTGAATTCAGTGGCGAACCTTTCAACACCAGAAACAGGAACACACCTGTAGAATATTAATGCATAGTTGATGGAGTTTTGCCACTTGCCACCCGAATTGGAATTGGACAATTGGGAATAGTAATTTGGTGGTGGTTCCACACCCTCTGGAGGCAAGAATGTCCAATTCACGCCGAAGGGTCAGAAAAGTGACCAACAGAGCGGAAAAGCAAGTCGCCACTGTTGGACAAACTGATTTATTATTACCGCGCGAGTTGTGGCGAACACGAATTGGGCGTGTGCTTGGACCCATCTTGACTGACGTTTCATTTAACTCCAACCAAGAGGATCTTCGTTGCTTGTACAACCCTAGAAAACGCCACAACCCGGTTGTCACTCAAGAGGGCCCCCGCTGAACGAACATACGCGCGAGATTTCATCGACGCGCATTCATGTGTGATGTTGCTAAATTACCTCCGGAGATTACATTTATATTGATTAGAGAAAAAGAGTAGCCCTTTTTCCCGCCACGGCACAAGTGATTAATTGAATTCCTCTGTTTGTACACACTTCAGCTCTATATATGCGTACGTGTTTGAGCTTCGATTTGATTAATTTCGGCACGAACACATTTATGAACCGCTATGAATTCACGAATCGAGCTCGACGATTCCCATTAACTTTTGCATAAAAGATGCGAGTAAACGCGGTTATTGCGCGCACGCACCGTGAATGATGGAATGCTCGCGAGAGTTATTGTTTTAGATGTTAAACGCATCACTCAAACCCAACAGCACGCATACTCTACACCGAAACGTGTGCTGTTTTGCATATATTGCCAGAAACTGAGCAAAGCACTCAGAACACTAATGGAGATATTACACTACTCATTATACACGCAATCATAGCCAGTGTTCTTCAATTACAAACAACTACATATACATATATCTATTGTTTTGACTGCGTTTGTATAAAAAATTGATCATTCATCACGAGTATCATGACAAAACAATAATGGTTGTGTTGCCGAAAAAACTGCAATAACAAAACACCAAACAGCCATAGACAAACAAACATAAAACAAGCAATTTGCTTGCACGATAACCTGAAACGAAAACATGTCACTGAAAAAATAGATTTTTGGCGTATATTTTGTATCTATTGCAAATGTTTTAATTTGAAAAGTAATTGAAGCATTAGTAATACGCATCCGTGTCAATTATTCTGATGAGATATTCACCCACCGTGCGCACATCCCGAAAACACCCTCTAACACCGCATTGTTTCATGACCCTTTTATTATCGCTCTCATAAATCCCCAATCGAGCGTCCATTTCACTCCACTCCACCCCAATATCATCAGGGGTTACCTAAAGAATAAAATTCAAATCAAAATTTTCAAAAAAGTTTAATCTACTTGGTTTTATAGCAAATTTTTATTACAAGAGGTCAAAAGTAAAAGTATTTTAAGTATCAAGTTGCTAAAGAAGAGTTTTAGTCACGAGATTGATTAAGAGTGAGTTTAGCGTGACTAAAGCCCGTGACTAAAATACTTTTTGTCCGTTTTTATGTCTAAAAACCGTGGAAAAAGTGGGGTTTTAAAGGTGGAAGTAGAAAAACATATTTAATCCACTTTATTTATAATACTAAAGCTTTAGAAGTTCATAATCAGTGTAATATTTCATCCAACATCCGACAAGTGCGCGAAGAAGAATAAAGAAACAAGATTGATAACGTCGTACAACCCGACTAGTTCCTACTGGTTCTGTATTGAGTACTGACCAAAAAACACACCCCTGTTATGATGCCGCTGTTGGTGTATGTGTGTGTTGGTAGCTGGACACAGCGATTATTTCCAAACACAATTCAGTGCAATTTGCTACATGCGCTGTCAAGGGCTGAACGAGACGAGATGGACGCGATGGACCAGCCAACAGAACGGCAATCAATCATTTTCTCTGCGAGGGCAGTTTCACCCCTTCATCGCAGAGGACAATATCAACAAATTTTATTTCATACACGCCGCGCGTCGGATAATTCATCATCACATCACACATCTCGACGGTGGAAGTGTATCTATACTTTATACAAGGAATGGATATCCATGAGTATGACCCACATTCATTCCGCATCGTTTAGCACAATGTGCTTGGAGTGTATAAAAGTCGCAAAAAGTGAACAGGAATATGTTTACCTTTATGAGGTTATCATTTTGAGTGATGAAGTATTTGAAGCTTTTGAATTCGCTTTAGATGTGTTCATTTCAATACAGGTGCAGACGATTTGATTACGCAGCATATAGTAACATAATATATATTAATACATATTATATCATGAATGTGGATTAAGCGCTATCTCATCTAACCATGTTCAAACATGGTTTGAAGCTTCAAGCTGCGAGAGGACATGCCTGCGGGCGAGCAAAGGGTTGCAGGTTGCTATTTCCGTTTGCAAGTTTCGGAATATCTACATCTAGCTATGTGTATAATTGAACGGGGTATACACGAAGCAGTTTATTTAGTAACGCAGGAATTCCTCCAGAGGGCTTGGGCTAATAACAATAATTAATAAATAGTGAATAGTTGAGGCACGGGAATTGCATTACATTACATTAATTGAATACGATTAATACAAATTGGAGAATATTTAGTGTTGAATTTAATTGAAAACATATTTTTTGTTTTTCTGTATGATTGAGGTTAAGACACTGATAAATGATTCTGTTGGGGACATCCAAACATCATCAAGTCCCTGTATCCCTGCAGTGCAGAAATTGACCTCCTGCTTTGTTTGATGAGACCACATCGAATTTTCCGCATGCCCGCATCACACAGTGCACGTTTCGCAAACGTTTGCACATTGCCGAAATGATAAAAAACAACGGAAGCAACCGTGCAAAAAAAAATTTAAGACAAATAACGCACGGATTATAAATGATCAGACTTCTACCTAGGGTGAGTGCCAACCAGACGTATAAAATTATACACGACGCAACGAAAAAATCAATATCCGCATAAATGGAATAAACATGTTTATCAATATCAATATTTGTTCGATGGATATTTTTATTTTTTGTTTATTTCCCGGTGACATGCAGACTTTTAATTGCAAGTCTCCGGAGAGGTAAATAACCGATAGAGATTTCATTTTATTTCGGTTATCTGTTTATTAATAAAAATATGATGCACATATGCGCATTGCGTGCGTAAAATTATTTTATCAGATGATGAACGTGAACGTCAAACAAATTAAATTAATATTACAAGATCGTTGGGGCAGATAAACGCCAATACGAATCTCAAAGGCGTGGAATAAGTACAAAGTGGGTGATAGCATGTGCATTTGCACGTTATCAGGATGGTGCGTTATTTGATCTCGGCTGGACTTTTCGCATGTTGGTTATAATCAATGTGGGAAAATGCACTTGTATTGCTAGATCAATAAGCGAGGAGGATATGGTCAAACGAATGGGCATCAAAGGTTTCATTTTAGTACTTCATTAAACGCTCGTAATTTACTTTACTAATGATGAGGATTTACACAGCGCGTAATTAGGGCTTTTTTACTTATGAATATTCATAACCGTTGCGCAAAAAAAAGGTAACATTTTCTATTTTTCACCCGATGATACAATCTTTATGGATGTGTCTATGTCTAAAAAATAGATGTTGATGAATTTATTAAAATGGGGGAAGTATAAAGCACAAGTATAAAGCAGGAAACGTTATACAATTTTCGAATAGTCATTCATTGCCATTCTCATCACACAACGCACTTTGATGTGGTGTCGGTGGTGTTTTTTTTTTGTTCGTGCGCGCAGGTGGTTCATTGCGTGAACGATACTTTCAAACGGCGTTTGATTCTATCTACGTTTCACACAAATAATTAAGTGTTTTTTGTAGGCAATTATTCGTCATCGCATCCTCGAATAAAAGGGGTGCGATACTTCCTCCCGAGTTAAAATATTTCTGTTTTTCGAATTTCGGAAAACAATAAATGATGATTCTTTTCACTAACGTAAATTATTTGATCACACGTCGATTTGATGGGATCCCCCTCGGATAATTTACCAAAATCACCCCTAAATATGTGGACATATTTACATTTATGTATGAAGATCACCTTCCTGCTTGAACCACATGCTCCCATCAAGTATACTCTCACACATTTTTTCTGGCGACAACACGCAACCCCACAATTATGCCACCGACCACATTTAAACCTTTAAATTGAATTATAATACGTCCACGATGAGTAAATCGATAATAATGTGTATTTTCGTATAATAATGCGGATGTATTTCGAATAATCATCGACGAGTTTTTACTTTCGATGCGTTGTTAGTTGTTACGTAGTGAGGAAAAGGAACTGGAAACGAATCAGAAAGAAGTAGTTCCTTCCGTGTTTGCAAACAACGCCACGCAAAACAAGAAAGTTTTACTTTAAGTAATAACTTCAATTAAACTTCCTAGAGTTTATTATCTGTGCATTTATGTGTCCCCTCTATTCTATTACGCTTAGAATTAAATATTGGTAACGCATTAAAACAAGCTCATGGTCGCGGGTGTTTGCTGGCTGGGAGCGTTTGAAGGCAGAGCAGTTTTTCGGTCAGTCAGTCGAGCATTCCGCTCGGTTTGCATATCCATGTCGAAACCACGCGCACTTCACTTTCACTACCGTCTCGCCCGCCGCCGATAATAATGCCATACTCTATACTCAGTAACGAGAGAGCAGGGGAACCACGGCGACAACACACAAGGCGAACGGCTGTCGCTTACCTTCCCAAGCTCCGTCGCTGACCGCAGTCCGCAAGATGTCTTCCAACGAAACAAAAGCAAGTGATAACGCGTGATTTAAATTTTCAAAACACAAAAAAAAAAACCAGCTTCGTGATGATGGCAACGACGGGAAAAATCGTAGTGCGCGTTGTGTTCATAGTCTGCATGATACTCATCCTACTCGGGGACTATACAGGTCTCATCAGTAAGTTGTTAGGTGGTAATCCACACAAGGATCAACTCGCGACGCGTCCCAGACCTACGAATCCTGGGTATGGTGACCATAAAACCGAAATTGATCTGGATGCAGATATAGAGGATGATAGTATAAAGAATTTAGGTGAGTGAGGAGAGAAACATGTTGTAAATGTCGTTTACATTAACCTTGAATATTAAAAGTGCGCATTTGCACGTGCAATCATTTTAATTCCACATTAATAGAATGTGGAAACGTCATCAAGGCGCCAAATCTAAACAATGACATTATAAATTACAATATCATGTTGGTTATACGTACAAACAATACAAGTGATAAATAAACATTATTGTGTCATGTTACTTTTAGGAGGTCAAACATCAAGATCACAAATTTTGGCAACCATTAAAAACGCCTGCCTGCCAAAGTTGATTTGTGAGCTGAACGCGACACCTCAGAAGGAAAAACTTACCGACTCGGAAAAGTCGTTGCTGTCCCTGATACGGTGAGTGTGTGTGTGTGTGTGTTGAAGCAAGGAAAGTTGTTATGCGACTTAACCTATTGAGTCAGCCTCGGCACGAAAGAAATTGAAAGCCATTACGGAATCAAACGTAACTGCACTTTCTCCTCTGCCGTAATAAATAAGACAATGTTGTTGGCATCATGCGGAAGACGGCGAAATGGAAACGCACGCGAGCAGACTGTTATTTTATTGACTCTTGTTACCGCATATCGTCTTTCCAGGACCGGACTTTTTAATTTTTTATTTCATTTTATTTTATTCAGTGATACTTCAATCAGTACAACAGCAGAATTAACATCAAAATATCACTTTGCCGCGCACATGGGACAACTGATCGCTGGTGTCGATGGTAATGGTTGTCACAATTTTTATCCAACATGTCCGTTTCCGGGCCTGCAAGTGCTGCAGATCATGAAGAAAGTGCGAATGCGTTGAGTCAACAACGACTTTACTAATGTGTAAAAAAGACAACAATTGGTGTGACATGTTTCTCCCCTCCGAATGAAAAGTGAAAGAAGCTCGCAAAAAGTGGAAAGGAAGCAAAGTCAATCTATTAAACAAGATTGAATGATTTCGAGCGGAAAATAAAAAAAAATTGAGAACTGATGCAAAAACATCATTTATCATTTCATTATTGACTCATCATGTATCATAATGTTGCTTAATGCATCAAATAATGAAATTTACAAACTCCATCAACTATAAACTATATTAATGTATGTTTGTAGCGTTAAGTACTACCTATAATGACGTGAATAAGTGCTGTGAACATTTGTTTATTACAACGTATGATACGTTCAAAACAAGACAATATTAATTAAATTTTTTTGTTTTAAATATTCCCATATTGTTTCCTAATATTAATTCCTGCAACACTCATATTATATGAGTACTCGTATACGTATGTTGATGATGAAATATTTTGCGACGCAATATAGTGACGTAATTAATAACGCGACTATCGTAAGTAACATAAGTCACTTGACTAAGCAATTATTTTCAAACAATAGATAGATTGCATTTAGTTCTTTTGTAAAATAAGAAATAAATAGAATTTTTTCTATTCTTGCATCAAGGTTAATTTGTCATGTGAGTAACTCACTTAAGACTAAGACTTAAGTAAGTGAATTGCATTCATTCTATTTTTACTCAACAATGTTTCGCTTTGCTGGCTTTGCAACACGATTGACATCAATTTTTGGATAGGTCATGAACAATTCTATTAGCAAATGATATTAATATACACTTGCAGTAACTTTGTTTAATTTAATACTCATTTATATGCGCTTAGCGTATATGTAAGTATGTTGCGTAAGGCTAATCATTCGTAATCGAATGGGTTACATTATAATTATAGCATTAGCATAGACACAAATGGAAACTTTCGTTTTTATTTGTTTCGGTTTGGTTGAACTAAAGATGGTATGAATGTCTAGTTTGCGCAGAAGTTCAAGTAATGAAGTAAGTGCACTACACTTTGTCGGAATTATATATTTCGAATGCAAGGCTGATGCCTACCACGAAAGCCTCCTCTCTCGAGAGTGGTGGCCGAATCTAACTTTCACCGGCGTCGGCATGCCGATAACATAATACTACTGGAAAGACACACCGCGTTGGTCTTTCGTTAGCGTTCATTTTCTCTCGGCAAGTTAAGTCAGCTGGTGCATTGGTAACAGTCAGCCAGTACCAAATATCTACCAAATAAACACAATTTTAGTCAAGTTTTGCTTAAAAATGAAGTTGCGGCAACTTCTCAGTGCTGGTTTTGTGTTGAGTGTGTTGATAGTCCTCCAGGAAGCTCCTTCAACAGCGGCGCAACAAGCTTTTGAGTTACCAGTGGAATTGGTTGGGTTTCCCATTATTATCTTGGCCGTACGCCTATCGAATTTCGTCAAAAAGTTTGCGTACGCGTTGAATCCAAGTGAGTAAAAGTAGACGTGATGAAAGTCACATACTCATCGAAAGTTATTTTGTAATGATTAAACAATTTCTCGCGCGGAAGTGAATTTAATCACGTAATTAAGATAATTAATAAGTTATTTATTTACTTTAGGAACTTATAAACGTTCACGGCGTGCGATAGCTTCGGATGTGGATCTGATCGATATGAACGAAGCAGAAAAGCGTCTTGTTGCAGAATTAGGCGAAAACGTGTGTATTTACACGAAAGTTTGTTTGCATTATGCTGCCAAGGCGCGCAAATCCCAGGGTAGACCCAATCATCAAATAGATTGGAACAGCATATTCAGGTGAATAAATTTTAATTTTTTTTGTTATCACATTCAACACCCTAAAAGTCAAAAAATTGAAAAAGCAATCTGTGTTGTTATTGAAAAAAACAACTTCTGGCTTAATATTCAATCTGCGTATTCAAATTTTGATTTCTTAAAAATTATACGAGAATGTGAGACAAGTCAAGATTGAAATTGAACAGCATGTGGAAACACAAAGGCGGCACGAAGTGTATCCAATTCTTTAGTGGCAATTTCCCCGATGAAATCGTCCGTCATTCCACGCATCCCTCGCAGAAGGGGCTTGTTGATGTGTGCTGATATCCGGCGATGTTTTATAGAGCATGCATGCAAATGGCATCCATCAATATCGGGCTGCATCAATGCAAACGATGCGCGATTTATCTAATAGACGATATGCTGATGTGGATATGAATATCAAAACAGTTTCTTTTTATATCTCTCTTGCAGTCACTACAAAACTTCACCGGATAAGAACAAGGAGTTTTATCTGCTCAGCGTGTTCTTGGGGGACATCGTCGCATCGCCAAGGTTCTGCAATCAATTAGCGAAAAGAGGGCGGCAATGCATTGATTGATTGCTAAAAATGTTTGCGTCATAGTGTAATCAGTGTAAAATTGATGGGAGCGTATTTATTTGACCTGCTTTGGATGCAAGGTCTCTTGTCACTTGTTTTGCGCGAGCATAGGTTTTAAAATCGTTGAAATAAAAATGTTGAAAGTACAAAGTGAAATTTCGACTATGCAAATATTAATATATGTCGTTTGCGATGTTAGAGTTGAGGAGACGTGGGTTTTACTGATTTTGGTCAGGTTGCACCCACGTGCGCTTTCTTTGCAAAGTGAAATTTGAATAAACCCAACGCAATGGACGTCAGTGATCATTATACGATCGAACGTCGTCGGTGTTGAAACGTTACGCGCTATCGGCTGCATAAAATAGTGCAATGTGGGTGCTCAAAGTGTTTGCGATAGTGGTGCTTGTCGACAGAGCTGAGCTTATCAGCACTAAGCATTCTCGGATGGAGAATAAAAATACATCGTTGGAAATGTTGTGGTACGTAGACCTATCACCTCCTTTGATAGACTTTATAAATTTTAAAATTTGATAGGGACTTAACAAATTTAGCATTACAACAGACCAACCTAGAAGGAAGACAAGGTGGATACGGATTTCCTCAAAATAATAGACCTTATCAACCAGGTTATAGACCCCAAGGACCTTATAATCATGGATATCCCCAGAATCAACAATATCCCTCTCCAGGTCCTTTTGGTTTTCAAGGACCACAAGGTCCCGCATCCATTATGGATGTTCTCCACTCTGTTGCTCAGAACGATGAGCTCCACTGCGTGCCAAAGTTACTGTGCGAGTTGACATCAAATACTAGATCTGACGGCAAACAATCCTCATTGTTACCGTTCAATTTGAACATGGACTCTTTGCTCGGGTGAGTCACGCTGGCGCAACTTTCTATGTCATCGCTATTCAAATAACACCAGAATACTTTCACGCAGATAATTAATTTGTATGATCACAATCACTTGTTAAACCACGAAAATAAAGATTATTATCTGTCACACTATAATATAATTGAACGCTTTCTAGATTATTTTCTGCATTTGGTCCATCGTCGAATCCGCTCTTCTTGTTTGGTAGAGCTGCCTTGTTGGGTTATACCACGCGTGGGTCGTCGTGCTACAGCGCGTTTTCGCGATGCCCCAATGACCCCGACCAATTAGTAAACTACTTGAACAACTACAACGGTGGCTTCTTTAGATACTTCAATGGTAACCCACGACCACATCCAAGTCTCCAGCAGCAATACTATCAAGGATATCCTCAACGTTATTATCCCCAGAAGCGTATTCTGACCAATTCGATAACAAACAAATATCCTTATCGATTTCCGTATGAGCACGACAGTGGCAATCGATTATCGAATGGAATAAAATTTCCTGCGGACGATGTCGTGAGCAACTCTATTGACAGTGGTTTCTACACGAAACAGGCGTATAAATCAACGAAGACTCTAACGTTTCCGGACGGCACTTCCGGCGATGGACGGTATTACAAGAATTTCAGAGGAGCCAAGACGTTGAGCTTTCCGGATGCGCATTATGACCGTGGATTGGATTTTCAAATGGTCCGACCGAGTCATGTTGCCTCACCTTATATTTTCCCAACGCGGACCGGAACCGGCGAGCTTTTACTTGACACGGAAGAATTATATTAAGTTTTTTTTAAAGAAAATACGCTTATAAATCTCAGGTAGTAATTTATTATTTAGTTTACTAAAAACTAAAAAAATGTAAAGTTTCATGTCGAGGAATGAAGATTAATCCTTGCAAAACGTCTGTGCTTATTAGCATCGTTGAAAGCACTCATCCGATGTGGAAAACGCGATTCGCAATCGCAATCGGCGTTTGCTCTTTGAAGACAGAAGTCGCGCGTCCTTTTATCGCAATGCGCGGCGCGCAAAGGCTTTTCGATAATTAAAAACTGGGGAAGTAATAATTCATTGTCACGCATCGGAGGCAAATGAACGTAATAATAAGTAACGAATAACAAAAGGCTTCTTTGAGTGGCGCCGACTTCAAAGCTCTGCAACTCGCGCACGCGGTTGACAGTCGACACCCCCGAGAGCTTTCCGTTTGCGATCCTTTAATGCCGCACAAATCCTAGCGGCGGTGTAACCAAATCAAGGTTTACCGCTTTTCCACCCGTCGCGCCGCTTATATTGTTCTTTTCGACGATTTAAGGATCTGAGGAAACGCACAAGAAAATATCACGTTTTTTTTCCATGCGGAGATGAAAAACTCCGACAATAATCAAAGGACGGAAAATTGAATGCACAAACCGGCGTCAAACATGCACCCAAAAGTCGCCATGATTATTTTAAGGATTACATTTTGCACCCCACAAATTCCCGGTTTTGGACTTCCGTTGAAAAAGAGTGAAACGTGTCTACATATCAAAATCACAATCTAAATCTCTTTATTCCGATCCAGCTTTTATTTTAAGAGTATTATCACGGATGGCATTAGATAATAGTAGTGATTAGAAACGCGTCGATGGCACGTGTCGTAACGTTTGCAACTTGACGCCGTCGTCAAAAACGTGCGCCATGTTTTCCTTCAATTCGTCTCACCACAACTTCAGCCCAAACGCGTGTTCGGTGTTTATTATAGACATTACAGTGATCGGATTGTGCGCTAGTTGAAAAAAATCAATGATGCAATGACAGCAAATTTGGACACGTTTCAATCTTGTAACTGGTGCTGCGGTGCTGACGCCATTCCAGCAATTGGAGTCTGAGTCTGCGTTCTATTGTGTCCGGGAGAGAAAAAAGCAGCGGCGTGAGGGTGCGTGCTGTGCGTAAAGTTTCAAATTTGCATCGAGGGCGCGAGATTGAGATGACAGCGATACCGTCATCTCGCCGCCCCCACAACCCCACGAACCGACGGGTACTCAATTGTAAAATAACCGAAAAGCTCTTTTCGAGGAGCGGCGTCAACTTGATGTCGCCTGCACCGACGAAACGAAACCAGCCTCCCTTCGAATATATTTTTATCTCGGGGTAGCATCACCCGGGCTCACCATTATAATTAAAACGTAATTCATTTGTTGCCAGCAATTTTTTCCTCAACGAGCCACTTCTGCTTCCACTTTTTGAATCCCCAGAAAAGTACGAAATTGAATAGAATCTTATTTTGTTGACATGACGAGCGAAGAAAGAAATATCAACGCAAATCACACAAATTGTGTGGCGTGGATTGGGCAAGGCGTGAAATTAATGGTAATTATACAGGAAAACCGAACCGGCTGTCAATTGGAGGGTGGCTGTGTTCACTGTTCGTCGACGCTAATGCATCGGGGTGTGACACGTTTGACGCTCACTCGCCCGGTTGTCACACACTCGCCACATAATGAGTATCTGCGCGCCGTATCCCTTTACAAACCAACACGAATCAATAACCGACTATTAATATTTACCAAAATCCACCCCTTTAAGCCAACTATTCATTTGTGCCGCCAGCAAAGCGTATTCATCTCGTAATGCCATTGTTATTTTATCATTAGCAGTCGTTTTTAATTTTTGCATAACTTGTGTATAAATCTGCGCTCGCAAACAAACAAAACGAAAAGTTTTCGAGTTTCACGCTTTGATTAAGTCTTTAGATATAATATAATTGCACACAGCCGAGTTATACGATACATGTAAGTTTGCGCCGCAGAAACACACGCCTGCGATTAATAATGCTCATTTGAATAATTGCAGCGCGCGAACGAATGCATTTCAGTAGCTGCCACTCATAAACTTATTAAAACGCGCAAATTTATAAACAAGCAAAAAATACTTACTCGCACAAGGTTTGCAAGGTGTAATTCAAAACCAGCTTTGTTATTCTTTACGCGCATATTTTGTTATGTGGATATGTTTCTTACGAATTAAAATAACTTGTAATAAATCGGTCAATGTTCTCGCACCTGTGAATAAACTTCATATGAATATGGAATGTCTGACTCATTGATAAATAGAAAAATTAATTCTATTGCACTACGCAGATTTTTATTTAAACTGGTGTCATTTGCGCACCCTTGGTGTAAGGCTTTACGTTTGAATGCCATTTGGATTATGACTTGGTGATTCTTATCTCATATTCGATTTGTCCCGGGAAATCTTAAGCCGCGTGTCGAAATTAATTCGATATAGACGCTTTTGTCTACTTAGCGACACGCCGCATTTTAATAAAACTGTTTTGCATCCGGGCGCTGCGAATTTGCATAGATTTTACATTTGCCCTTTTCGGTCGCTTGATGGGATTACTTGCGTAATCTGATGATGAGAAAAAATACCGAATGCGGAGAAAAATGAATTTATAAGGCGCATTATGCCTGCGCCAGAGAAAAAAAAAACTGTTAGCAAGGAAATCGCAAGTAAGGATGCCACGGTTAGTTCGTGAATGAAATCGGATGTGAATGTCGTATTAAATTTGAATATTTTAGGGTGTGTGCTCCTGCACGTCATGTATTTATCTATCAAATCTTTCAAATTATTCTCAATTGAATATTCTCAAGAATAAAAATGCAGAATAGTGCATTGCCCTTATTGATGTAATCGTAGGTTTCATAAATTAATAAACAAAAGACGTTTGCAAAGTGATTTTGAACACGACCCTCATGAAAACTACTCGGCAGCGACGAAACGTCACTCAACTGGTTCAATTGAAGCGCACGTTGTAATATTTACATTCGGTGTCGCGGCGCGCGGACAATGCGAGCAATTAATTGTTGGCAATTAACAAATAGTGTGTGCATGACTGATACAAAATGCCCGTTTCAATCATTCCATTATGCTAACCCTTTGAGTCCCGCGTTGGAGCATCCACTGTGGTTGATGGATATGTAAATATGGTTTTAAATATGGTCGCGTATTGAGAACCATTACATGCAGAGGGACGACGTTAAATGAGATGCACTTAAATGTTTGACTCGAAACTTGTCAGTCATGCAGATAATTTACGAGCGGGCGAAATTTTTGCGCAATAAAGTTGTGTTATTTACTAGTTTTGGTGATGCTAGATTTGAAATTGATTAAACGCCGTCAATGTCACCCTTAATTCCACATGCCACCCTGCAGAACCTCCCCACACTTGCGTACACATCGAATCATCCGGAGCGTGAAAAAAACCGAATGACGAAACAGGAGGGTAAACATAAAAAGTAATACGCGAGCGCAAACACGACACGATTGTTTCACGAAATCGTCGAGTCCACACCCCATGCCCGAAAAGATACACTTGCACTCAGATCATCGGCAAATCTGTCGATCTGTGTGTGACACGTGACTTGTATTAGCGCTTGTGTTCTAATCTGAAAACCGAAAAACTGTTCAGCCGTGAGGGAAACAAACGATTCTGACTGTGTCTGTGCCTATTTTTCTAGTCTTTTGTGCAAGATACGTAGGCATTTCAGAAGATGATAAAATGATCAATATTACAACTTGTCAAGTTGCTTTCTTATTTTTTATCACCCTCTGCTATATGAATAGTCATCCACATTCATCATTCTTGATTAGAACACCACGGAGGCGATCGTCGAATTTGTGTGTTTTTATGTGCTGTAATAAAGTGCGACACACGCGTACAATGCGAAACCATCAGGAGTGTATACGGCGAGCAAACGACTATGCAATTAGTGCCCCCAGCAATTTTTCCGTCAATAATGCCCTGCGTCCAGTATGCTAGAAAGGAAAGAAGTCGTCATATCAAAACTAATAAACATACGCTCTACTTAGATTGTTAGTCGGGGTCTATTCATCGCTTCGTTTGGACATGCTCATTAGTTCATAAAACAAATCACCCTTCCTGTCCACTGCTTGGCTGTCCAGTAACGGCTAGTTGAGGCGAATAAAAGTATGATGACAATAGAAATTTTAAGCGTGATCATTTTCATAATGAACGAAATTTATTGCTACAAACGAGCGATAATATAAAAACACGTTTTTTTTGTCTATTAGCGTCTCCTCTTTTTTGATAATCTAGTTTCACTCAAAACAAACATAGGCAATATACAAAGAGTGCTATTTACTTTGTGTGGGTGTGATAAATCATTAAATTACCGACGCATTTCGGACAGGATGTGCGTACAAAACGCATTCTATTTATCGATATCATCATAATGTGATCATTATCATTTACGTATTCACTCGTAGAATACACGTTGTTGCTATTTCTATGTGTAAATCTTGGTGAACCACTGAAATGGCATGAAATGAAAGAAAATAAAAACGCAATGAATCATGAAGTGTAAACACAGTCGCGGTGTTGTCATAGGCGGCATTCTCATTCAAGGTAACCAGACCATACGAGTGCGGGCTGTGCTGGCTGATCGCGTCAAAAGGTTTGAGATAATGTGTAACATTACCGCCGATTACCACACGCTGGAGTCGTGTATTGCGTTATAGTTTTCTGCACACAATGCGCTACGCGTCAGGTGCCCAGGTGGCCTTTTCCAATTTGTAGTTGGACGGAACGCTTCAAACAATGCGAATCGTAAGAAAGCGATGGCGAAATTAATTCCGACCATTATGTGTTCGCACGTTCGCAGGCCGGACCGAGTCGTGGATCCATGGTCGTCTCTACGAGCGTAAGCAATTCGCGCCCAAGTTACAGCCAATACGAAGTTTTATTCCCTGCCGCAGGGCCGCAAATAAAACTAAGCGGTGAATTGAACTGGTTCAGCAAATGTAAACAATAATGGTCTTAAAATAGCTTTGTTATTCGAAGGTTCCTGATGGGTTTTTACGTGATTTTAAAAAATGTATCGTGTTTCAGAACTTAAGATGATCATGTGGTTGCACGTTGTGGGCATGGACCATTCTGACCTTTTGGTTCCTCGGAACGATGCTCTGAGATCGGTGAGGATTGAAGAAAGTGGTAAGATAAGGTAATTTTTATGTGTGCGCTGCAAGGCAATGAACGGAGGCGTCAGGCAGTCTGGATCTTAAGCATGCTGTCAAGCAGCGATGCATACATGTATGCATATGAGTAGATGCTGACTGTTCCATTCAGTGAACAAAACACGAGAGTTCAGGCTGTTATCTAAATTAAATATTATCAAATTGATTAGTATGTGTATGCATACGCCCTGTATATCGAGAACCAATGGAGTCAAATAGATTACTTTACCATCATATGATTGATAAAGGGTTCCTCAATAAGGTGCATATCTTCCTGACCCTTTATAACTTTAGGAAATAGTCCCTAAGTCACGTACCTAAAATACCTATATATAAAATACCGGTAGCACGACACTACTTATATATTATAAAAATTTTTATATTACTTTACTAGTTACGTAAACGTACAATTTCTTACATAGTATGTATTTTTGTTCGAATTTATTTGGTTTTAATTATTTTAAATTAGCAAGGGGTGAAATCAATTCCCATACTTGTTCACAGGGGTAGTGACATTGAAAAGGTTAGGAACCACTGTTATAGAGAATAGTCCGTAGAATAGTCTCTGCGATTTGTACCTATTTATCTCTTTTAGTTTACGAGATATTCGCACTAGGATGCACTAAAAATCATAAAATCGAATTATACGGCTTATTTTTATATGTATCGCCAAACGTGGGCACGAGAGTAGTTTTGTATACAATTCTGTTATCTGCGTTTCGGTGTAAACAACGTTTTTAACGTATGTATTCCTAGCTGTCTCCTAGCGACGCATCAACTTGCTGCATGCAGCGAAGTCTAGTTTAGTTTAGATTACAGGTAATGTGCCTATTGCAAATTCACACACAAGGTCGCGTGCATTCGACGCGCCGCCTTTGCGCGCCACTTGCTTTCTTATCATATACTGTCCCGTTGTTGTTTACGCAGTTTCGGCGTGCACTATCGGTGAATTGCAGCCAGTTTCGTGCTGGTCGCTGGTTAATCCAGTCGTGTTTTGAGAGACTTATATCGTTTATTCGGACTTCAATATTTTAAATTTGTGTTATACTTGAAGATCAATCGACTATTTATTTGTACATTGCGACTGTAGTCATTTGTTTAATGTTGGGAAATGCCGGTTTTTTTTATTGCGTTTGTTATGTATATTACAAGTCCCGTGATAGTGGATGTGATAACATTCTTCACTCGGCGTTGTGTTTGGTATCGGTTACTAAATTAATCGAATATATATCGCCCCCATGTTGATTCTCATCATTAAGATAGATCCATCAGGCTCGTGTAAGGATTATTTAACTAAACTCTGTGCTGTTTATTTGTTTATTTTGTGTTGATTGTTAATTATAACATTATTCAATTGTATGAAATATTTTTGTTTTAATTTATGTTTTCGTTTAGTTACAGCACTCGTTGTGCCTGGCAGTCCGATAAGCTGTACACTGGTAAGTTTATAATTCAACTAGCTTTAACCCGCGGCTTCGCTCGCGTTGAATCCATCAAATAAATATTAGAGATCATTATACATAGTTGAAACGGATTGATAGAAAGAATGTATATTTCACTGCTTGGCAAGGATTATCTATGTGAAAAAATTACTACATTCAATAAAGTTTTAAATTTTAGATGGAATGCTAGATGGCGTTAAAGTAGTCAATTAGCCAGATGCAGAGGTATTATTGGCTAAACAATTTCTTTATTTTATTTAAAAAATATTTTTTTTATTAAATAAAAAAGTAGCCTATAACCATTCCGGGACCATCGGGGACCACTAAGAATATGTGTACGGATTTGATGTTGACGTAGCTGTCGGTAATACAGTGTGATGGTACTATAGTACTTAGGTGTGAGCTTCATTGCTGGAATGCTAGATGGCGTTAAAGTAGTAAAATAACCAGATGCAGAGGTGTTAGTGACTAAACAATTTCTTTATTTTAATTTAAAAAATAATTATTTTTATTAAATAAAAAGTAGCCTATAACCTATCGGGGACCACTAAGAATATGTGTACAAATTTTCATGATGATCTGTTAAGTAGTTTTTGCGTGAAAGCACTATAAACTTCAGGACATACGCATTTATAATATTAGTAAGGATTATAATTTTCGGTCAAATTTACATTTGCTGTTTATAAACAAGTGTTCTATTTATAACGTACTACCTACCTGCAGGGCCGGTGAGAGAGGGGGGGACAACTGGGATAAATTCCCCGGGGCCCGGCTGATCGCTCTTAAATCGTAAACACGACGGCCATATCTGTATCTCCCTGCATTGAAATTTATTGCAAGAAAATTCCGTAACGCGAATTATATTGAAAGTTGTATGTTTGCGCCGTAGTACTCGTTGCGCTAGGAATTGTAGTTTTTCTATGTACCTACCACTCGAACGCGGAGCTACAGTTAGTTCGGAATAATTTTCCCAGATGCAGAATTATATTCTGTATCTCCCTGTATAGAAATTTATTGCAGGAAAATTCCGTAACGCGAGTTATATTGAAAGTTGTGTGTGTTGAATAAAATGGGTAAAATTTGAAAAATGTCACTTCTTAGTACTTTTAGTGGCGTTTTTTGATGTTTTACTGTTGGAAATATTATTATTTTATATTTATATCTGATAGAGAATTTTCCAGTATTTTATAATCAACAATGTCTTGGTTGCTACCTCTTTCAGTTTAAGAGATATTAATTATTGAAAATCGTCGCTAAAAATTATCAAAAATTATCATCATCACAATTGGCAATTTTTTTCTTAAGAATAAACATTTCATCTCTTAGATTTCGGTTTTAACCAGCCTATCTTATAGAGAATAGTCCGTAGATTAAGACGCTGCGATCGGATCTTAATTATCTCTTTTAGTTTACGAGATATTCGCGATTGAATAAAATGGGCAAAAATTGATAAATGTCACTTTTTAGCACTTTTAGTCGCATTTTTCGACCTTTTAATGTAGGAAATATAATTATTTTATATTTTTATCTGATAGACAATTTTCCAATCTTTCATAATCAACCATTCGTTGGTAGCTATCTCTTTTAGTTTAAGAGATATTAATTTTTGAAATTCGTCGAAAAATAGTATCAAGCACCCCCCCTTGGCAATTTTTTTCTTAATACTTAAAATTTTGTCTCTCATATTTCCCTTTTAACTATCCTATCTGATAGAAAATAGTCCGTAGATTAAGACGCTGCGATCAGATCTTATTTATCTCTTTTAGTTTACGAGATATTCGCGATTGAATAAAATGGGCAAAAATTGATAAATGTCACTTTTTAGCACTTTTAGTCGCATTTTTCGACCTTTTAATGTAGGAAATATAATTATTTTATATTTTTATCTGATAGACAATTTTCCAGTCTTTCATAATCAACCATTCGTTGGTAGCTTAAGAGATATTAATTTTTGAAAATCATCGAAAGAAAGTATCAAGCACCCCCCCTTGGCAATTTTTTTCTTAAGAGTTAAAATTTTGCCTCTCATATTTCCCTTTTAACTATCCTATCTGATAGAAAATAGTCCGTAGATTAAGACGCTGCGATCGGATCTTATTTATCTCTTTTAGTTTACGAGATATTCGCGATTGAATAAAATGGGCAAAAATTGATAAATGTCACTTTTTAGCACTTTTAGTCGCATTTTTCGACCTTTTAATGTAGGAAATATAATTATTTTATATTTTTATCTGATAGACAATTTTCCAATCTTTAATAATCAACCATTCGTTGGTAGCTATCTCTTTTAGTTTAAGAGATATTAATTTTTGAAAATCGTCGAAAAAAAGTATTAAGCACCCCCCCTTGGCAATTTTTTTCTTAAGAGTTAAAATTTTGTCTCTCATATTTCCCTTTTAACTATCCTATCTGATAGAAAATAGTCCGGAGATTAAGACGCTGCGATCAGATCTTATTTATCTCTTTTAGTTTACGAGATATTCGCGATTGAATAAAATGGGCAAAAATTGATAAATGTCACTTTTTAGCACTTTTAGTCGCATTTTTCGACCTTTTAATGTAGGAAATATAATTATTTTATATTTTTATCTGATAGACAATTTTCCAATCTTTCATAATCAACCATTCGTTGGTAGCTATCTCTTTTAGTTTAAGAGATATTAATTTTTGGAATTCGTCGAAAAATAGTATCAAGCACCCCCCCTTGGCAATTTTTTTCTTAATACTTAAAATTTTGTCTCTCATATTTCCCTTTTAACTATCCTATCTGATAGAAAATAGTCCGTAGATTAAGACGCTGCGATCAGATCTTATTTATCTCTTTTAGTTTACGAGATATTCGCGATTGAATAAAATGGGCAAAAATTGATAAATGTCACTTTTTAGCACTTTTAGTCGCATTTTTCGACCTTTTAATGTAGGAAATATAATTATTTTATATTTTTATCTGATAGACAATTTTCCAGTCTTTCATAATCAACCATTCGTTGGTAGCTATCTCTTTTAGTTTAAGAGATATTAATTTTTGAAAATCATCGAAAAAAAGTATCAAGCACCCCCCCTTGGCAATTTTTTTCTTAAGAGTTAAAATTTTGCCTCTCATATTTCCCTTTTAACTATCCTATCTGATAGAAAATAGTCCGTAGATTAAGACGCTGCGATCGGATCTTATTTATCTCTTTTAGTTTACGAGATATTCGCGATTGAATAAAATGGGCAAAAATTGATAAATGTCACTTTTTAGCACTTTTAGTCGCATTTTTCGACCTTTTAATGTAGGAAATATAATTATTTTATATTTTTATCTGATAGACAATTTTCCAATCTTTAATAATCAACCATTCGTTGGTAGCTATCTCTTTTAGTTTAAGAGATATTAATTTTTGAAAATCGTCGAAAAAAAGTATTAAGCACCCCCCCTTGGCAATTTTTTTCTTAAGACTTAAAATTTTGTCTCTCATATTTCCCTTTTAACTATCCTATCTGATAGAAAATAGTCCGTAGATTAAGACGCTGCGATCAGATCTTATTTATCTCTTTTAGTTTACGAGATATTCGCGATTGAATAAAATGATGCAGAATTAAATTCTGAATCTCCTTGTATCGAGGTTTATGGCGAGAAAATTCCGTAACGCGCGTTATATTAAAAGTTGTGTATGTGCGCCGTAGTACTCGTTGCGCTAAGAATTGTAGTTTTTATTAGTGTAACACGCGAACGCGGTGTCAGAGTTAGTTAGGATTAATATTCCCAGATGCGGAATTGAATTCTGTATCACCCTGCATCGAAAATTATTGCGAAGAAATTCCGTAACGCGAGTTATATTGAATGATATGTGTGTGCGCCGTAGTAACCGTTGCGCTAGGAATTGTAGTTTTTTTAGTGTAACTCGCGAACGCGGTGTTAGAGTTAGCTCAGAATAATTTTCCCAGATGCGTAATTGTGACTCGTGTTTAGCGCACCTTACGAAGGTAGCAGTAGAAGTGACTCGTGTTCAGGGCACCGTACGAAGTTAGCGGTAGAAGTGACTCGTGTTCAGGGCACCCTACGAAGGTATACTTATTTTGCCTATTTTAATATTTTATTTTATAAGGAATATTTAAATTAGTCGCGGTGTTGTAAACATCAATTATTGAATTAACTAAGGTATACAGTAAACTTATACGAAGACAATTAAAAAACAATAAATTATTTATTTGTTTTTTTTTGTTATTTTCTAAGTTGAATACGTAATCCATGGTTTATAAAATGTATTTATTAAAATAATTTTGTGATTTTCTTGGATTTTACAAGTTTTCGAGTTTTAAGAGTTTTACTCGTATACAAAATTGTAAAATCCAAGAAAATCACAAAATTATTTTAATAAATACATTTTATTTATTTGTATTGGTAAATTACAAATTCCTGTTTTTCTTCATCTTTTTTGCATCTCATAACCAATATATTCTATTCTTATGCCGAGAAATATTGAAAGTAAAAGTAGATTTCGGGTATGTGTGTTATTTCAATATTGTGAATTTTTACTTTCGTCTTCTCAACTACGTGTTTACCACTACGTTTGTGTATAAACAACTTTTTTTGTTCAACTGACGCTACGTACGCTATCGCTTATCGCTACGTACCTGCCTTGTACCTGGTTTCGCACACCGCACACGGCAGTAGTTTCACCGCGTGGTCCGCGAACGCGTGTCTCTAATCGCCACGCGTTTTCAGACTTCAATTATTCAATTAATCGTAGTGCATTCTTTTCGTTATCAGCAAATTATTCGTAACGAGCATGTGTGCCTGTTTTGTTTGATGAATTGTGGCGGTTAGAGTGTTCTTAAGTGAGAAATAAGTGTCCGATAATCTCTGCGCGAGTTTTCAGTTGATAAGATATATGCCTGGATCTAAAATTTCTTTATCAATGCACTGGTAGGTGTTTAATCACTTTTTTTCGCGGAAAGTTAAGACGGTTTAACTTAAATTGATTATTCCATTTGACGGATATTACCTAATTTTGCAGATTACAAACACATGGTAGCATTTTTATCAGAATTCTTAGTCATGTTTCCGAAAATAACATACATAATTTAATTATTACAAACACTGTGTTAAAAAATACCTGAGGATTATTAAAATGATAATATTTATGTGGTCGACCACGCTCACTTTGCCGTCGACCGTCGGCTCGTTTCCGCTGAACGTTTTAAATCGAATTTCCCTCCTTATCATCATTAAATTAAAAAGTTTTTTGTTGATCTAATAAAATCTTATACGATGAATAGTTTTTCGTTATTTTTATCGTATTTACCTACTGTAAAACCACGCGTCGTTACTTGCCGTCTGCTGATTTGGATGTTTTCCGCCCGATGTTCTATCAATTTATGATGATGCTTCACCCGTCGGTTACCTTATGCAGTTGATGCTATCAACTGATAAATATATACACAATATATTAAAATGTAGGTAAGTGTTTTATTCTTGTTGCAACTTTTTTACGTAACTTTTCCGATCATTTTCGGGTAAAATCTTTGAATTTATGTTAAAATATAGTTGTTTCGGTATAAATTTCTCTTGGTACAATGTGAATGTTGATCATATTTGTAGTTTTTAAAGCTTTCCTTTTGTAACACCCTGTATATTTGTTTTCTCAACAGTACTTTAGTAAATCGTCTTTATTTGTGAGTTTTGAGTGTTCTTTGTTTTAAACTTGGAATTTTCCTTTTGGAACACCCTATATATTTGCTTTTCTTTGTGTCCGTGAAAACTTTCCTTCAGTTGTGGTTTTAGAGATTTTTTTGCATTTTAAGTATTTTTTTGTAACACCCTGTTTATTAGTTTCCCGGAGCATCGGGTGAAAACAAGCAATATTTGTAGTGTTTAGATGTTTTCCTCTTTGAAGGTTGAATTTTTTATTTGTGACACCTTGTATAATCGTTTTCCTTCACATCCCTGAAAATTTTGCTTTGACTGTTATTTGAATTTAACTTCTTGCACTTTGAATTTTCTTTTTGTAACGCCCTGTATATTTGTTTCCCAGGGTAACCGTGGAAAACTAGCGATATTTGAATGTTTAGATGTTTTCCTGTCTGTACTTAATTTTCTGTAACTCCCCGGTATATTTGTTTCCATTGACTTTGCTAATTGCTTTATCTCGCTAGAACTTCACTTAGTGATACGCGATTGTTGGCGCGGCTAAGCAGGTCGTAATTCCAATTTCAATATGGCGGCATGAATTCTGTTGACTTGTATTATTTTACTTTGTATTTATTAATAAAGAAATGTTAAGAAATATTATGTCTTATGCTTTCAATGTACCCGTTCTATCATTTCAGGTACAGGTCTCTAAGAGAGTTCCCTCTCTCAGGGGATGATCCCCAATATAAAAATTGTTAAGGTATCCTGTATGATTTGTGTACTCCATCTTTCATTTCAGCTACAGGTGAGAACTTGTAAGAATATTTTTAAGAGTCCCCTCTCTTGAGGCGACTTAAAAATTAGAAATATTTTTACAAGTCCTTAAAAGGATGTCCTTATAAGGAGTTCCCTCTCTCTGGGGGTGATCCCCCACCATAAAAATTGTTGATATGCCTGATAATTCCGGGGATGAAGCGCAGAGACATCGTAGCTGTAGGTTGGGCCGGGAGCAATGGACGAATCGAAGCAGTGGGCGATCGACCAGAGCGCCGGAGGCGCTCTGGGAGATCGACCTGTGACTGTCTTATAACGACACGTGCCAAAAAATTTAAAAATCTGATCCACTCCTGTTGCTCTTTCTCCTATCTCCTCTTCTCCTCTACTCTGTTCTCTTCCTTCTGTCTTCTACTCTTCTCTGCTATTCTTTCTTCTATATTTCATATATTTCATTTGAGTTTACATATGCAACCCAAATTACACCTGTTATTTTTATATTTGAGAAAAATGCCTACTATACCTGAGATTCGATCCGTGCCTACTAGCATGCCAGCAGGTGCACGTATCCACTCGACCACCGAGTGTTTTTATCATTGCTATTTGATTCTTCTATATATGTTTATCTTTTTATCATGTTTTTAAAAACAACACAATTCAAGCTACAGCAACGCATTGTACACGCTTCACGCACATAAGATTTATATACTATATGATTTAAGACACCGATACTGAAAACAGCAAAGGGGATCCAACAAAGAAATAAGAATTAGTTTATAACATTACAATGTGTTTTATTGACAACATTTAAAATACATATATCTTTCAAATAAAAAAAAACATTGACGAATCTCGAATCTCGCAGCAGTAAAGACTTACCTTAAAATGTGCGCATCTCTAATACTTCTTTCATGGATATCGCAGATTCCATTACTGGGCACCAACGTTGTCTATCAGCAGGAATTAATAATAAATCCAAGTTTTGCCAATATTCGAGAAGATAAACGAAGGCAATTACAGAATTAAAGTAAGACACGCGAAAAGTCGCTTCGAAGATCGACTGACGAACAAAACACGTGCTAAGCGTTGCACAGCGCGCGATCGACTAAAGTGTAAAAAAAATTGATATCAGGCGTAAACAAAGTAGATAGCCCCTACCAGTACTATCTAAATAAGCAGAACGACTGACGCGCTGCGCCGACACAAGCAACGTATCAGACACAAAACAAAATTAAAAACATCAGGCTAGTATTTATTACTTTTGATTCATTCAATTTGATTTGAGTAACGCTCTGCTTGTGTTCCAAAAATCCTAAATAATTAAGTGAAATCCCTAAAGACAGCAAAAATTAGTCCTTCGAACATAAAAATGCAATTTTGGTGATTAATTTGTAAGATAATCACAAAAGTTATTTAGAAAAATGATTTATAAATTTAATACTTACAATTTGATGCAAAAATGGTCCTTCTACGATGTCTGACTCAGGTGCAAAATCCCTAAAACAATCAAAAATTAGTTCTTTGAACATAAAAATGCAATTTTGGAAATTAATTTGTAAGATAATCACAAAAGTTATTTAAGAAAATGATAAAGAAATTTAATACTTACAATTGGATGCAAAAATGGTCCATCTACGATGTCAGACTCAGGTGCAAAATCTCTAAAACAATCAAAAATGAGTCCTTCAAACATAAAAATGCAATTTTTGAGATTAATTTGTGAGATAATCACAAAAGTTATTTAGAAAAATTATAAATAAATTTAATACTTGCAATTTGATGCAACAGTGGTCCATCTACAATATCAGACTCAGGTGCAAAATCCCTAAAACAATCAAAAATTAACTTCGAACATAAAAATGAAATTTGGGAGATTAATTTACAAGATAATCACAAAAGTTATTTAGGAAAATGATAAAGAAATTTAATACTTACAATTTGATGCAAAAAATGTCCTTCTACGATGTCAGACTCAGGTGCAAAATCCCTAAAACAATCAAAAATTAGTCAAAATGTATACAAAAAATGCGACCGAAAAAATGTTTACAAGAAAATTCGACCGATAAAATTTTTACGAAAAAATTCGACCAAAAAAGTATAACAAATTTTATTCGACCGAAAAAATTTTACAAAAAGTTTCGACTGAAAAATTTGGAGTAAAAAAGTTCGACCTTGTTTTTCGGCCGAAAAAATATTAACAAAAATATTCTCTCAAAATTAGCCGAACGAAAAACACAAAAAGGGCATTTTTGAAGGTTTCCCGAGGGTTAAACCCACAAGTTATATATGAAAATTATAAAGAAATTTAATACCTACAATTTACTGCAAAAATGGTTGCCCGATGACATGGCGTTCGCCCGCTAAACACTTAAAACCACAAAATTAGCCGACCGAAAAACACAAAAAGGGCATTTTTAAAGGTATCCCGAGGGTTAAACCCACAAGCTATATATGAAAATTATAAAGAATTTTAATACCAACAATTTACTGTAAAAATGGTTGCCCTTCGACACCATGTTCGCCCGCTAAACACCGAAAACCACAAAATTTGCCGACCGAGAAACACAAAAAGGGCATTTTTGAAGGTTTCCCGAGGGTTAAACCCACAAGTTATATATGAAAATTATAAAGAATTTTAATACCATCAATTTACTGTAAAAATGGTTGACCTACGACACCGCGTCCACCCGCTAAACACCAAAAACCACAAAATTTGCCGACCGAGAAACACAAAAAGGGCATTTTTGTAAGTTTCCCGAGGGTTAAACTTACAAGTTACATATGAAACTTATAAAGAAATTTACTATCTACAATCTACTGTAAAAATAGTTGCCCTACGACATCGCGTTCGCCCGCTAAACATCAAAAACCACAAAATTTGCCGACCAAAAAACAGAAAAAGGGCATTTTTGAAGGTTTCCCGAGGGTTAAACCCACAAGTTATATATGAAAATTATAAAGAATTTTAATACCAACAATTTACTGTAAAAATGGTTGTCCTACGACACCGCGTTCACCCGCTAAACACCAAAAACCACAAAATTTGCCGACCGAGAAACACAAAAAGGGCATTTTTGTAAGTTTCCCGGGGGTTAAACCCACAAGTTATATATGAAAATTATAAAGAATTTTAATACTTACAATATATTGTAAAAGTGGTTACCTTACGACATCGCGTTCGCCCGCTAAAACAAACAAAACACAATATTACCCAAGCGAAAAACACAAAAAGGGCATTTTTGTAGGTTTTCCGAGGGATAAACTCACAAGTAATATATGAAAAATGTAAAAAATTTTAATACCTATGCGAGACCATACTAATACCAATGCGAGAACATACCTTGATGCAAAATAAATTTTTGCGTTTTGATATATCCAATAAGTTGTATGGACCTTAATTATGCACATTGTAGAACCTATAAAATAACGTAGTATAATACAAAAAGAATACGACAACTCACTCACGCTTTACCTCTGAGTATGTAGGTACCTATAATCCGCGTGTACGAACCCCGCACATCAATCGCGCACAATCGAAGAAGCACTTAGAAACTCAAGAATAATGAAGACAATGTGCGTGCAGCTCACCTGACGACAAAAATGAGACTATCGTGGTACACAAGCCAACCGCGTGGCGATCCTACAAAAATTGCACGAGATAAGAAAACATGTTTGTTTGTAAACACTGATACTGTCAGTGTGGTAGTACACAACATGAATAGAATTGTACTCGCACTATGAATGAAACTATTAATTTCCATTAAATTCTGTTTTCGGATTTTGATAAATAATTTAATTCTACATCGATTATTTTAGTAACTTTTTGTGCTAGCATTAACCGTTTAGGCCCTATTTACAATTTTTGTGCAAACTACATTCGACATAAAAAAGAGAAGCCTTTTTTATAACAAAATCTTTTCCTTAAAAATTTTTTGTGCCATTTTGGGCATTTTTCAATAAAAGCGCCATCTTGTTGAGAATTCTTCAAGGGTCAAGAATATGAATCCTTTTTCTCTTAGCCCTATTAGTTTAGGAGATATTAGGGTTTAAAGTTTTAAGTTCAAACGAAAATATTTTAAGGTAAAAGTTCGACCCTGTTCTTCGAGCAAAAATAATTTTTAAAAAGAGTTCGACCCTGTCTTTCGACCTAAAATTATTTCAATCTTTACCTGAATTCCTTTGATTAAAAAAATTAAATTCAGTCCTTCGACCGAAATTTATATAAGCGGAAGTTCGACCCAATCTTTCAACCCAAAAACGAAAAATATTGAAAAAAATACAAATTTTCGGATGATGTTTAGGGCACTTCCGAAGAGTTTAAAGGGTAGCTAAAGTACTCACGTGGTAAAGGGATTCTTCAACTATCACTTGGCAATGAGATAGGCCAAATTGCTTAATTGGTTCAGAAATTACAGAGTGTTTTCCACGCTCACTTTTTGAAATTCCAGAAAAACAGCTTTTTGAGAGGACATTTTAGGGCACTTCCAGAGAGTTTAAAGATTTGGGATAAAAGCACATTGTAGAAGGACTCTTTAGCTGTCATATTATGATGAGATAGCCCAAATTGCTTTATTGGTTCCGGAAATACAGGGTGTTTTCCACGACAACATTATGGAAATTTAAAAAATATTTTGACGGCCATTTTAGGGTACTTTCTGAAAGTTTTTTAGGGTTAGAATAGCATTAACATTATAAAGGCATTCTTTACCTATCATATGACGGTAAAAAAACCTAAATTGCTTGATTGGTGTAGGAGATATAGGGTGTTTTGTTGGTCAACTTTTTGAAATTTTATGATTTTTAATGAGACGCCCTGAAAAAATAAAAAGAATAAAACACAGTATGTCTTCGGCATGTTTACATTTATTTGAAAAACCAATTAACTTTATAAAAGTGTAAAAGTTTACAAATATTGAAAGACAATTGGTAGTGGATAGTGAGTATGGCAATTTACAATAACTCATATTTGCGTTTCGTCCCTAACGCATCGAGACAAAAACGTTACAATCGTGGGCATCGCCTTCCCTCACCGGCGTCACCTTATTCCATACATCACAAAAAATATAATATATTATGGTTATGTCGAGTAAAACATTCATATTATTCGATTCTATGTAGTGTACTGCAAAAATCATAAATATGTCGATTACTCAAAAGCAGTTCAATTAATATTCGTTAGGTTCATAGATTGGTCTGCCGTTGGCAATTTTTGTTACTTTTGTTGTTCATTTATCACGGATGGGCCGGTGCATAGCCTTTAACAATAAAATTTTCTCCCGCTTTCGTACGTACGTAAACGTAATAAATTCTAAATGTGTTTTTGTTCGTTTTTTTTTCTCTCTATAATGTTTGTAAATTTCAAAAAGTTCAGGTTCATTTGTTCAGAAAGCGCAGGTTTACAAATTTTCACCGGGCCCTTGGTCCAGGCTCTGTCAGGTAATGTACAAGGCAATAATCATACCACGAAATAAACTAAACTCGTCTCGCAACTCATTATGGCATAATCAGTGCATAGAATAATCATAGATTAACACAATTCATAACTCAATTAATTACGCGCATTTTCCTCTCACAAAATAAAAATGAAACAAAAATTCTTTAGACCAAAGTCAAACAAACAACCAGCATCCGCATCTTCTCATCTCTCTGACTAGGGAACGAAAAACAAAACAATAATTATATTAATGTGTATATAATATATATATACGCGTTGAAAAAACATTTCGCACGTCGGAAAATGTATTTCGGAGATCAATTGTAACAGGATTATACGTCGGCAAATCACAGAGACGCTTTGAAGAGCGGTCTACACACGCAACTACTTACGCTACTCTACTACTTACAAACTAAAAAATACAATTGCTTTAAAATTTTCATTTAAAATATCAGCGCTTTTATATTTATACGTTCCATATAATACGAATCTTCATATGTATCCCTATATATTTATATAATATATATTTCTACTTAAATATATATTTTCTTGTGTATCAAAAAAAAAGTTAAGCTATTAACACGCATTGACAATATTGGTGTGGCCACGCGAACTTCGAGTTCTTTGGTGGCAATGTGAGCACAGCAACGATTCGACGCCACCTCAACTCGCGTGCCTCCTGAACACATTGTCACAAGTCTAAAATCTCGATTGGATAAAAGTTAAGTTAATTTTTTTGGACGAATTTCGTTTTGTTTTGTTTTGTAAATTTCGCTTAATGGAGGCACTCGTGTTTGAGATTCGTCGAGTCGCTCGCCGACGTTTCCGCCACAATGCATCACGACCAAATTATTTACAATTTACAAGGTTTTCACCCAGAACAAAAAAAGTTTAGGTCGGCAGGGGTGGCAGGGTTGGCAGTAACGTTTTTCGAGGTTTACGCGCCCAGCCTCGCCGCACCGCACGCGCATTCTAACTACAGAGATCATTGGAAAACTTTTCTGCGACGCGTTTCTACGTCGCCAAATACCATAAAAAAATAATACGCGAAAATATAAAAAAAAAATCGTAAATATTAAAAATGAACATAAGACACAACAGAATTCAGACTCATTGGTAGCGAAACTGTTTCAAAGCCGCGTGCAAATTGGCACCTCATCATTCTTTGGCTAGTTCTGAATCTAACTCTCATTTTGCTTACTTTTCTATATCTTTGAGAAAGATATATACAAGATAATATAAATTAATCTAAATTACGTACGAAAAAAAAAACAACTGAGAAAAATTATTCATGCTTTCTTTTTACTTTTATCTAATTAGTTTTGTTTTTCCTGAGAGAATGGCGGGGGGTGCATCGAGCTCAACGCGTCCTCCACAACTACATCCCTTCAACGCTTCGTTTCAATTGTGAGATCAACTATTTGATTGATTAGCTCTGCTCTCTTTGGAACTTTGACAAATATACAATTATACTTAAACAATGCTAAACGGCGCGCGCTCCTGGCCGGGCCTCGCGCAAATGACCTAATGCGACACATGCGCGCAATCTTACTAATCGATAGAACACTCAAGTTAATTACTGATTATCAAAAATAATAAACACACCGAACGAATTGATTACTGTAGTAACGAAAATATGTTATAAAAAAAGTATTAGGCGTATCATACGCCGTGTACGGTTTACGCTATCGATATTATATTATAGAAACATCACTGTTGGGTAGCTTTGGATGAATTGGTTTCGTTCATGACGTGCAAAGTGAATTACCGGGCGCGGAATATGTGCCAGCCGACGACGCAGATCACCGCTGTCCACAGGGAGCGTGAGGATGTTGTTGCTGGGATGATTTTCGACAGCAGGCTCTTGTCCTCGATGGCGGGAGTTTCGGCGTCCACCAGGCAAGATGGCGGTGACTGCGACGTTGATGAACATAATAACGTTGGTGGCATGAATGGTAATCTCTCTGCTTGCTGTAGAACAAAATGAAACAAAACAAATTCGTTAGCAAATGCATAATACTCCAATAGATTACTATCAAGTTTGAAACAAAGAGAAGCCGTGAACATGCAACATATAAACAATGAAGGAAAAAACCACACACATACAAAACCAATGTGCAATTACGTTATAATTATCTTATAAAGCGGTAGTCCAAGGTCAGGCGTGCAGCGGGTATGAAAACGTGCGCAACTGCATAGAAGTGTTTTACCGATCCACACAATTGCACAATAAACGCGGCGTGCAGGAAGTAAACTTGAAATAATGACGACAAGAAACTATCATTACGAAAAAAGATGATGCGCAACTATTAGAAGTATCTAAAGCCTAGGCTGGGTGATCATGGAGCATGCGAGCACACCACGTGAAATCACCCACCTTGAAAATATCAGCGAATCTTCGCACAATGACACCAACCTGCTTCCAATCGACGTCCACCTCCGCGGTGGCGGTCATCAGCGGCAACGCACTGGCGTCGTTGTCCTGTGCGAGCATATGCGTCGTGAATTTGGCGTGATAGCAACACGACGCCTCGGCGTCGGTGTTGATGCGTTGGTGGCGGCCGTCGGCGGGCGTCGTGGATGGCTGGCTGCTACGGACGAGATCGGGCAGATTGGACGGCTGCACGGCGGCGGGGTTTTGCTGATGTTGGTGATGGTGGTTTCGTTGATGATGTCGAGGCAAAGGACATACTGGAATAAAAATTCAATCGTCTAAATCCCGCACTTTATTTTAAACAATATAAAAGTTTGCTTTTTCTGTTAAATTAAATTTACCTCAAGCGAAATCATTTTTAGCGCCATTTTTTTTTTGGATTTTACCAATTCATTTTTAAATTTGATTTTAACTACGTCGGTGACTTTCTTCGGGGAGCCTCAACATTAAGAAAAGATTCTCCCGGGACATGCCTGCCAAAAATAATAGCACCTACGTCATTAGATACCAAGTCATGCGATCAAGGTGATTTTAGATATGATATAGATCGATAGATACGGGCTGTTTACACTACGCGTGAAAATAAAATGTTTGCAAACAAACGAGGAAGCGCATTTACTGAATGCGGAACGAACACAATGCAATAATAACAGTGAGAGGTGATTATGAAAAAGATAAGCGCAAAAACTTTGTAAACGTTAAAAATGGTAACAAAAATGGCGCGTGTAGGCAGTCACTGAACTCCCAATTACCACAATTTCACTAGTCTGACTTATTATGACTCTGGTAAAATTGGCACTAGTCAAACTTGACCATGAACTCTATCCAAAGAGTAGAAGCGCGCCCACAAGTCCAAGCAACAGGTTCAGCCAAGTCACGACACACTGTAGCACAATTTCATCACCCACGAAATACGAATTTGCTTTCCACTCACTTTGATTTAAAAATTTTGTTGTGCGCATGTGTTAATCATTCCAAAGCACGTGTTTCGTGTTGCGGTGTATGACCGCAGTTGGATGACTCACAGAAAAAGCAAACAAACGCACAAAATGGAAAGTGATTTTTTTTCATATCTAATTGGATTTTTTGTGATGCTTACCTCTTATTGCAGAAGAGTTCGAGGCGCGATTCAACATCCGTGCTCGTAGCAGGATCTGAATTTGCTGATTGATGTCGATGAGCTCGCCAAGGAGCTGTTCGAGTTCAGCTTCACTTCGATCATCCTCACTGGGCAACACAAATGGTATAGCCATGACGGCGAACTATGTTTTTATTTCCTTGATGCGCAAACTTTGAATTAATTCAGAGCACAAAAATAAGTTTTCGCCGCACAAATGTTTAAGAAATAATTCCCGAACCCACTCGGTTTATTTATTTGATTTCAAACAGTTGCAAACGAATCGATTGTCACTCGGTTGAAGTTGTTGTTGTTGTTGGAACTAAGTTCGTAGACGGACTGACGCTAGATAGACGTCGAACGTGGATTAAAACGCGTGTTCGTAGCGAGAGCGCAACTCAGGAGAGAGTCGACCGGCACTGACGACAGTCGGACGTGGTTTGAACTTTCCACGCTGCCTCGACGCTGGACAAGTTACAACTTGTTCGAACGTGAAAAGCCCGATGTAGGTGGGGGGTTGTATGGTTGCAAAACGCCTAGCGGATGCACTCGAGCGGCGGTCGTGCGTGTTCGTCGATGGTCTTCCGAGGGTCCCACAACCAATGAGCTTTTAGAGCGAGGGGAACTCTGGGCGGGTTTTTCGTACCGAAAATTCACTTTACTCCGTGTGGGTAAGTTTATTTGAGGGCAGCTTTTTGCGGAAATCTGTTCCGAGACCTGATTTCACACTTTTACGCCAACCTGCAAGTGCTTCCAGTCGGGGTGGGGCAATAACCTACTACCTGGTTTAGTTTTGCGGCGCAATATTGTCTAGAATTTACTGATTTATTGATTTTGATCACAATTTATCTCTAAACTAGACAAATATAGATCAAGATAAGTCAGAAAACGCAATTGTACTATTTTTATTTATATTCCGCACGTGTAAGCTACGTCTAGTAAGTCTAGAGTGTGTTTGTTGCAAGTTGCGAGAGACTGGCTCTTGAAAGCTCCCAGCAGACAAAGCTGTTGTACGCAAAGACAGGTCGAAACCTGTCCATATACCGTGATTGTTTTAACCAACTTTGAAACGGCGCACGACTACGCCTCGCGCAGCACACAGCACGAAGAAGAGAGCGCAGGTGTTCATCGCTCAGCGAACGATACTTAAGTCAGTAGGAGAAGATGCACTGCATAAAACACACAGGGACGTCTTCATGACCAGCCATAAAGTATCGTCAGACACGCGATGCTTGAAAAACCTACAGTTGGATCCTGTGTGACCCTAGAACCCAAAACGAAGGTCCAACCAAACACAAAAAAAATCTAAACACTACAAAACCGGCGAATTGTGGCGGCGAGTTTTACTGCCTATTGACCTGAAACTGAAATCATGCGGTTCATGGTCAAACCAATAAAACCCTAGCGAAAGCAAAAAACTAGATGCACCACTCTGTATTTTTGAACATGGGACCTGTCCGAGATGTTTGTTTGGTCGTGCATGTCGTGTTCGGACCTACCCTAGATGGCTAATGCGAGGGATAATTGTATTCATTATGATTTATGAGATGCCCATCAGAAGATGATACGCTATTGATGTATCCACCAAGTCTAGACTTGAACTCTACGTTTACAAAGATCTCTATTGTTGGCGACTTTCTACACGCTGATAATAAACACATAAACGGTGTAGCTCTTAACCACAAGTCTAACCACAACTTGCAACTTTTATTTCGATTGCTGAATTTCTGAGAAATTGCGTTTTTAATCGTGTAAATTGCCAGAAACACGTTAGCGAACTTATTTAAATAACCATATATCATGTCAGTTTTGCACACTGTCTGAGCACGCCTGAAGTAATGGCGTGCACTGATTTTAATTACATAAATAAGATAAGCAACGCTTTTTGGGAAGCCGACGCATTGTATCAGAGAAACATGCATTTTATTACTTCCACGTTTTGGAATTCTGCAAAAACCAAAAACAAAATTCGGAGTTCATTCACTTTGATTGTATTGCTGCATCTGTTGCAATTTTACCACATCTTCATGCTAAATATTTAAAAAATTGTTAGACGCCAAATCATCAAAAAGATCGAGGTCATTAAACTAAATATTACTCAGAAGGAGAAATCATTACCTTGACCCCCAGATCACTGGTCAAATTAAAAGTTTGTAAAATTTGCATTGCGACATGTTACATAAAGAACGTCTGGAAACAAAAACCGTTATGATTTTTACGTATTTACATGTAGTATTTGTGCCAAGAGAAGGTCGTTAGCATATGGCAATCGGTGTGTTTTCGATAGACTTGTTATTCGTACTATTTGCGATGATAATTCGTGAAAATCTGATTCATTTTTATCGCCTACGTAGTCTCAGGATGACAAAAACATGTTGTTATATTAATTCTAATATGGTGGAACCGCATAAAAACACCAAATATTATTTGATACATAGTTTACGTTTTTATCCACTGTTAAGTAATTACCTGCGCAATTAAAAGCACTTCAACGTCAGCGTAAAATTACACCCGACAAGCTGTAAATAACTTTTTATTATATTTCATGTTTCTCCAAAGCGACATTTAGGGGAAAGTCGCTTAAGTCGTACCGTCACGTAAGTCGTACCTCGGTCTTTTCTCTAACTTGAAGGCACTTTATGCAACTTAAAATGCTGTATTCGGACAGCATGAACTCATACTAGAAGCATATTCTTTAATCAGTTCCCGCCGAATCGGAATTAAGAAGTTATGCGCAAAAATAGTTTTGCTCCTCGTGCTCATCCAATTTCTCGTGGAGCTTGAAAGCATTGGTGGTCAGAAAAACACCACTAAATATGTGTTTTATGTTAAATATTGGGTATACATCTATCCATGTATTGTTTTCTACATGGATTTTGTTAAATATTCCTTCTGATATATTGTTTAAGGTTGTTTTAAGCGGAAGCACATGTTTGCTAACTCGTACCCCTTTGCGTTTTTTAAGTCGTACCTATAGAACATATGGGACTCAAGGTTTCAGCTGCGCCACGAGGCGGCGCTACGGTTGCGCGCCGAAGGTACTTTACTAGCGTGATGAGAATAGGGAAGATAGTATGATTCAGTGCCTCAAATGCAAAATTTGGATGCATGACAAATGTATTGGGGTGCCCAAACGAGTAATAAATACCTTGCAAATAAATACATTATTATTAAACTAATATATATTCTCATTTTGATATTACTTTGGCCTAGGTACGACTTAGGGTATCGAAGGTACGACTTAGGGTACCGGTTTGTTAAGTCGTACCGTTTACACATTTTTGTTAAATTGATGTTTTACAAAAATATAAACATTCCTGATTAATTTTTCTCATACCAATTAAAGCTATATTAACTAAAGCAGGTAAATATGTCGAAAAACTGACATTATGTTGCAAAACTTTCAATCTAGGGCCAATTGTATTTTAGAGGTACGACTTGGCCAACCTTCCCCTACTTCCAGTCGGCTCGAATTTATTTCATCTTGTTAATTGTACCGAAAAGCACCCAAACTTAATTTAATTTATGTAAATTATAAAATCGCATAAACACTGCAAGATAATGCGGAGTTTTACACTTCCGATTATGATTAAATCTGATACGTTGTAATCCAAAAAAAACAAAACAAAAATACAAAAAAAATAAAACTCAAGTGTTTGCTGTGGATTTTTGGCACAAAATAGTGCGTCGAATGTTGGGAAAAATAACCTTGGACTCAATTCTGCAAATAATATTTTCGTACGTTATCACACAAAAGCAGCTGGTGATAAGTGTTTGGATAGAAAATTCACGCATGCATTTTCCAAGGTCGTTGTTTTATTTTAATTTAGATCTGGATCACTTTTTGTCGCTAATTGATTTGTAAATGAAACACTTGACGACATGAAAATCGGATGTTGAGCAATTCGTGTTAAGTGGTGTGTCGGATGCATTATAATCGGATCATAAAGTGTGACTCAAGAGTGAAAATTTACGCAGTGTGTGTGTGTATGCAAATATCAGGCGAGCGAATGATGCAAGTCACGTGACATCATATTTCGGAAATAACGCAACAGTTGATAGTTCGCGATGAAGTACGGCTCAAACTGTGTTATCTTATCAGGCGGCTATTATTAGCTACTTAAACAAGAGAGGTTTTCAGACATACTGTCTGGATTTATCAATTACTGTCTATGATACAGATGCTGCACGTATGTAAATATTTATTAGAAAAAATTCTAAATCTGATTCATCTATGGTGTAAAATGTAACATAGCAAAAGTATGCTTCACCTGTGGCATGTTCATGACTCATTTTCGACCAGTTTTCTTTCTCCGCGACGGATTTAGTTGATGGTTGATGGCAATGACTCTCAACTCTCAGTGCAGCAGCCAAATGACTCGTAAATGATTCGCTAGTTGGCAGCTTCTTAAAAGACATCACCTACTACCGCAACACATGCGTTCTAAGAAAAGCACCAATAATATTTGCTCGGCCAGAGTGAAAACCCAGTACAGAATAGATTCAAGGACAATTCGAAAATGTGTCACTCGAGAGCATTTCGTAATACATCCGTATCTGTCCAACAAAGACGCAACGCAAACAAACCAAAACGTCACACGCGCACGCAAACGAAACCAACGGTTGTCTCATTTCTTTGTGTCCCTCTACAACTCCAAAGTAACAAGTTTGTAGCCGTAAAACAAAGATACACGCTAGAAAAGTGAGATGAAACGATGAGAATAAAAGCCACTTTAATTAGTATTTGCTCTTCAAGTGAAAACAGGTCGGGAGCAGTCCTCATCATCACAGATGTACACGGTGCATGATCTGGTTTTTATAAATTACAAAGAAAATATTAATATGATTATAGAGTTGGAAATTTCGGACGATAATGATGCTTTTGGAAACTTGTCTTCGGGAATCGTGACGCTTCGAAACGGCCACTCGCTGTGTTTATAGTTTTACGTGCTACGTAAGTGGACGCGTTTATAGCTCGCGCGCTATGACCTGTTTTCACCAATAAACATAATCAGTGTCAAATTTAAAATTACGATTTTGCTCCGCCGGAGATTTCGGACCAACGCTGCGTTTGTCGACGGCACTAATTTTATCTTTATTGCGCATTAGTCAATTAGATGTCTTGTTTTACATTTTTAGCTTTCCAGGTATGTCAAAACACAAAAAAAGTTTATATTAACACGTTTTTTTTGTTGGCTGTGTTTATGACTTTGTATCGAGGGTGTTAATGCGTTTACACGTGAGAGCGCATGTTGACACGTGCGTTATGATAATTTCCAACTAAAATATACATTGCCTAGACAACTTTTTTCGAGTTATTTTACTAGGCTTTATTCTAGTGTAGAAATATAAATGAGTTAAGAAATGCATTAAATGTAACCACACTTTCGCACATCACTGACCGGATAAGTGAATCCCACATCGTAACAAACCAAGATGGATGAATCGAAGCACTCAGTTGGAAAACTTTTCGGTGTTAGGGATTGAGGCCCCAGCACCCGCACGTCACTTTTTTAGATTCCGTTATATGAAAATATTGCACTTCCAACAAGTCGGAAGTGATATGCTGGGATGAGCACGCATGTATGCAAAATGTTCGAAATCCATTTTTCAGGATTGTTGCCGAATAATTCATCGTCATCTATCCCTTCGCGGATCCGGCGTCACCACAATGTGATGACGATATAATAGTTGAAGGGATCCCATAGTCTGTCAATGCCCTCGCTTTTTAGCAAACCGATTCTTCACTACCTGCCCTACAGACACGGGGAATCAACTTTTTTTGCCTCACAACAGCCGATCGGTGCACTTTTTTTTCGATGTGGGGTGAGTCATTGTAGGCAATGTGCATGTTGCAAACGATGAGGCTGCAAAGTGAACAGGCACCGGCATCGAACCTGCATGATTCACGTTTGTTCAACATTTAAGAATCCTCAAGAAGCCATAAGATCCTCTAGTGTTAGTAGAGGCACTCAAGGGCAATGTAAATCTAACACTTTTTTTATTGACCAGTGAGGTTACTCGCCACTTTGGTATGTCGCGTTAGTCTCGTAATTGCACTCTAGACCTAAAACGGGCATCAGTGCAATATAACGTCTAATTAACTGTTTTATCCAACTACTTTAGTTCTCACTCTTACTATTGATCATATTGAGTTGGAAGATCACCACA